AGGGGAGGAGGAAGAATGGTGTGAGAAAAAAAGACTGTGGGGAATAGTGACAGACTGCAACAACACTGATTAATTTTGGCATATGATAATTTTTCTTTTGCATACCTCCAGAAGTAACAAGGGGAGAAAGCAGGTGGCAGACATCAGACAGTTTATCTGATAGTTGCTGCTGCCAATTCAGTTTCTGACTCATTATGCCATTTAAGGAAGAGTTTATTCTTGGAAAACAGATATTTGACCTTCAGTTTCATTTGAATTAATTAATTCATTTGCTCAGCATATTTATTAAGAATTCACTATGTGTTAGACATTGTACCAGGATAAGAAATTGGCTGCACTCATAAGATATCACCAACTCGTCCTCAAATTCCACATCCCTTTGATTTACTCCAAATTATTCCACAAATTCTTATATCCAAGACATCTGCTTCAAACACAATCTAAATTAATCCTTGATACAATTTGAAATCCCCTGCCACCCTCTTCCCCATAAGAAGAATAGCTAGCAGAAGGGAGAGGAGATGGGGAGGGTGCAAGGGGTATAAAATAGTGCATCCATGAACACAGTCTTGAAAAGTGGCATCCCCAACTGTAATTGTCAAGGCCACAATCTATTGACATTAGAGTTGTTTATAGGAGGTGTCTTCATATGTTTGTGCTGCTATAACAAAATACCTGAGACTGGGAAATTTATAAACAACAGAAACTTATTTCTCATGGTTCTGAAGGCTGTGAAGTCCAAGACCAACATGCCAGCAGGCTTGGTGTCTGGTGAAGACCTGTTCCTCATATATGGCACTAAGTATCCTTACAAGGCAGAAGAGAAGAGCAAAAGGGCTCAGGCTAGTTCCCTCTAGCCCTTTTTTTAGGGCACTAATCCATTCATGAGGGTGGAGTCCTAGGACTTAATCACTTCCCCAAATGTCCATCTCAATGGGAATTTAAGGTTTAACATGAATTTTGGAGGGGACAAACATCCAAGCCATACAGGAAACAAAGTGAAATATGCCAAAGGATGGCATGTTCTACATGCTTACATTCCCTGTACCTCTGCCACGCCAGGTCACAGTTTCAGGATTGCTCCTCATGATATTAGCACCTGCCTTTGTCGTGCTCATTCCCATCTCCACTTCAAACTATTCCTTGAATTGAGCTGAATTTATCTTTTCTTGGCATTCACATAAATTGCAGCAGTCAACAGTAAGAAACAATAGCCACACACAGGAAAAACAAAAGCAAAGCCAAAACAAAATCTTTACTTAACTAGCTCACAGAATGGGAAATCAAGAGGTAGGGTGAGTTCAAGGTTGATTGAGTCACTTGTCTGATTATATAATTAAAACCACAGGTTCTTTGCATCTAATTTCTCTGCCATTCATAGCTTCACCTCAATGCTTGTCTTTGGATAATTGCCAATTGCAATTGTCACTGCATGCTTCTTTGTTCACAGGCCATAAGAGGGCAAATGTATCATCCTATTGCCTTTTTTAAAAGTGAAGAAACATTTTTTTTGAGTTTATAAAAAAGAAACTTATTGTTCATCACCAAATGTGGCCATATGCTTATCCCAAACAATATGTGCATCAAAAGAATTCCAAAAGATATTCTCAAAGTTATAGCTAGAACAAAAACATTTGAAAAAATTAATACTTTTGAATAATGAAAAGGAGGAAACACTAAAAAATCCAGATTAGTTTAATGTTATTCCCTGGTATAATTCACAGAGGATTGGTTTTTACAATTAAGAAAGGAATGCAATGGAGTTATTTAAAAATTCCACTTATATTTTTGGATAAACTTATTTGTTTTGTAGGCTTGGGGGATGATATAGGTTCAATATTTTTGACTTCTGTAAAGCAGTTGATAAATTTTCCCCCTGACCTTTATTTTGATATGGATAGAATGAGGAAATAACGATGAGATTCTGTAAAGTTAAAGAAACCCCCCCTTTTTTTTTCTTTTTAAGAAAGATCAGGACAAATGACTTTTTTAGCCCATAGAGTTGCCTCCTTTGAAGGTGAACAAAGCTTGGTCCTGCCTTGATCAACATTTTTCCAATAATTTGAATTAAGCCATAGGAAGTCTATAAGGGAGAATTACATAATAAATAACATAATCAAGATTCAAAGTTTCAAGATCTCTATAGGCTGGAATGATAGGACAAAAATCAGTAAGAAATGATTAACAGTAATAAATGTAAAGACCTGTTTTTAGGTTAAAATTATACAAAAAATGTAGAAAACAGAAAATATAACAATGCAGTGATGCACTAAAAGCAAACATATTTCAATTTGGAATTCCCCCTCCAAATTTCTCCCTCAACTCTGCACACAGTAAAGTAATGTCCTGTGTACAAGAGACATCTAAAAAAAAGGGATTCAGAATGAATGAAATAGTGAGCACATATTATTACATTGCAAGTTTATAATAGCAATGGGTACTATTTTCAACAAAGAGCTTTCATGGGCCAGGTGCGGTGGCTCACACCTGTAATCCTAGCACTCTGGGAGGCTGAGGCAGGATGATTGCTTGAGCTCAGGTGTTAAAGACCGGCCTGAACAAGAGTAAAATCCCTTTCTCTACTAACAACAAAAAAATTTAGCCAGGCATGGTGGTGCATGCCTGTAGTCCCAGCTATTCAGGAGGCTGAGGCAGGAGGATCACTTGAGCCCAGGAGTTTGAGGTTGCTGTGAGCTAGGCTGATGCCATAGCACTTTAGCCCAGGCAACAGAGTGAGACTCTGTCGACCCCCCCAAACACACACACACACACACACACAACAAAAAAAACTCTCATAGTTTTTTAGAGATTAGATTAAAATAGATTTAAAAAAATCAATAAGAAAGCAAGACTAAAACTTTTGGGATGCAGGGAGAAATAAACTATAATAGCAGTAGACTTACACCTAGTTCTCTTCATCTTCATCTATGACCTTCTGACCCTCTGGTATATATCCAACTTATATGCTTAAATCAAAATTTGCAACTTTGTTTTCATTGACCATGAAGTACTGATAAAATTGACACCAGTTTACCAAGAAAACTTCAATACATTTCAAAAATTAGAAATGTATAATACATACTTTTACAACATTTGGGAAAGTTCTTACTAGATTAATATGATGTATCATTTTGCATATTACTTGATTGTGGGGCGCGGTGTTAACGCCATTGCAAGATGGCGCCGGCTTCCTGGTCACACCCATACTACAAGACTGATAAACAGGGTGAACCGCGCAGGTGTAGGGGCTTTTTCCTGTCTCTCATCAAGTATGCTAATGAGGGCTCTTGCGTGAGCCAATCAGATTCTGCCTAATGAACTTAGTGCCTATATAAGCCCGCTCCGAGAGCTCCTCGGCGTCTTCCGCATGTAACCAGTTAAGCAATCCCCATTAAAGCGCTGTCAGAAGAACTCCGGTTGCCGCGTCTTCCTTGCTGGCAAGGCGGGCGCGACACTTGATAGTATAAGTAATTTAAATGATTATTTTTATATTAAAATGTGTATGGATACATAGAATAAAACATATAAGTTACAACTTTTTAAAGATAAAGAAAATTTTGATGTGATGACATGGAGCTATCTCCTTTCTATCTAATCCTTTATTTCTCTCTGCTTTTAGGGGTATTAGGCCCAAAACTTTGGGAAAATTTGAGAGTATTTCTTTTCACGGTTGAGTGAAATTTAGTCAGTGTATCTCTACTAAGGTGGAGTTAATAGACTTAAAGTGTTTTCCCCTCTCCAACTTTCACAAAGGAAATTAATGAATACTGGCCTATTCTAGAACCAAAGGAATTTCTCTTATAATAGCATATAAAGCCCTGGGCCAGGTTTTTAGAGGAAGATTTTTAGAAAGCATATATGTCCTGATTTTCCTCCGGGCAAAAGAAACTGCCCAGTCAGCTACACTCTGAGCTTCTCTGGGTAAAGACTATGTTTTACATGCTTTTATATCCCTAGTGTTTGGCTGAAGGCTTGGCCCATAGTAGGTGCTCTTTAAATGCTTATTGGATACATAGAATAAAATCCTCTTACCTGTTGGCAAGTAACATGGATTTAAGGACATTGCACTTTTCCTGTTCTATCGTGGCTCAGCCACAACCAACCTTCAGGGCACTAGTTAGGGGAACTTTTTCACTCCTAAGGAAAAAAAAATCAATGTATTCTCATGTGCTGTATTTTGGCTTATGCTGTATAGCTAGGGTTGCCCTTCTCACTGGTGTCCAGAGGATTCTGAGTGGAAGATAAGTGGGAGGGTGCCTGTGGCTTTAGCTTGCAGCAAGAATTCAAGAATGGATTTGACAGGCCAGGCGTGGTGGCTCACGCCTGTAATCCTAGCACTCTAGGAGGCTGAGGTGGGTGGATCGCTTAAGGTCAGGGGTTCGAAACCAGCCTGAGCAAGAGTGAGACCCCCGTCTCTACTAAAAGAAAAATAAAAAAGGAGTTAATTGGCCTACTAAAAATATATAGAAAAAATTATCCAGGCATGGTGGCACATGCCTGTAGTTTCAGCTACGTGGGAGGCTGTGGCAAAAGGATTGCTTGAGCCCAGGAGTTTGAGGTTGCTGTGAGCTAGGCTGATGCCATGGCACTCTAGCCCAGGCAACAGAGTGAGACTCTGTCTCAAAAAAATAAATAAATAAATAAAGAATGGATTTGATATCCCCTGTTCACTTTTGTAACCTTTGTTTCTTCTGAGCGTGATAACAGTTCAACAGGGAAAAGAGGGAAGAACTAGTGTCATCATTTCAGAAAAGGATGATTGGAATGCATCCCAAAGCTACCTATCTCCAAGTATTCTCTCCGACTGGCAAGGCCAACAAGTACAATGCAAGGAGGGAGTGGTCAACAGGCTCCAAGAATGAACAGAGTTAAAAACCTGAAGAAATGTGGTGTCCCTTAGAAAATAATGTGTGAATATTGTCAACTAAGTTTAAAACACCATTCAAAAGAAACTATTAATAATTTGAGAATTATTTTATTAAGAAATATATAGTGTCAATGACAAAGGAACATGTACATTTTCAAAAGTGCTCACAAAATAAATTAAAAATACATTTTATAAATGTAAAAAAATATATATTGTAGCTATAACAAAGGTACTTCTTCAGGATCTACTTGCATATACCACTTGTCTTAAAATACTTGCCTTAAAATACTTTCACAATGTCTTGCTTGAAAATTATTTCAAATTGCTTCATTATATTTATAACATTTCTGTACCCTCCTTTGCTTTTATTTTCTTTTTTTGTAGCTTTTTAGTATGACAGAACAAATGTCACTACATGTAGAAGAAATGCCTGCCTTTTAAACAGAGTTTTAGATGCTATCATTGAGTTCAGCATTTTTTTCTTCTTCAAGGGAGAAAGCTCTCCTTCGACTACACTTTTAGATTTTTCCCTGGAGTAATGTTTATACAATTCCAGCTGAGAATTACCACTGGTAGCCATCAATGTTACATTCATTCATCATACAATGTAACATTCATCAATGTTATAGAAGTTTCCCCAATATTTGAGGGGTAGTACTTCTCCTGCATTATAAACTTACATTAAAAAATAAAAGCTTACAAAAATAAGTTAAGAAACGCTTCTGTAGTTAAAGACACAACCATTGGTGGTGTTTTAAATGTCACAGTTAGAGTTAATGTTCCATCTGCTTAACAAAGATGATTTACTTTCATGCTGAGAGATATGACTGTAATAAAGATCGTTTACTTCGTTTCCAAAGAGTTCGACAAAAACGACCCCACAATCCTAGTAATTGCGAGACTTGTTCCAGGCATTTCTTTGTTGTGATTTCTCTTTCCTTTGTTTTCTTCGCTGCCTGGGTGTTATTTGTCTGTGGAAGAGGAGAATCAATAGCCAAAATTAATTTTCGCTATCTTTAACAACAGTTGAGCACAGGTTACGTTGCCTGCTCTATGCAAATCCATCTCTCAGTCTGTCCCAAAGCACCTGCTTACTATATGCTACTATGTGCTTTTTCCAGAGGAGTGCTCTTCTTCTTTCTACCCACCTACTCTTGCCCGAAGGTCAAACACCACCTCCTTCCCAAAGCCTCTGCTAATTGCTCAGACCTTTTCTTTCAGTGACTCTTCGGAGTGTGTGTGTCATTTAACTTGGCTCTCACATGTTGTTCTTAATATTGCATCATGGGTATTCCCCACAGTGCTGAGCACAGTGTCTTGTATATAGGAAGCACTGGTTATTTATTGAGTGATGAAATAAATGAACAAACTTGCTGATTTCATGATCTCTCTGACAAGATCATCAGTTCCTCATGGGCAGGACCTATCTTAGACCCCTTTATAGACAAAGCTCAGTAAACCTAGTCTATTATTTGGACCCATAGTGCTCCTGTCCCTATGCTCACCATCTAGATCAGGGGTCCTCAAACTGTGGCCCACTGAGGACAATTTGTTCCCGTTTTGTTTTTTTACTTCGAAATAAGATTTATGCAGTGTGCATAGGAATTTGTTCATAGTTTTTTTTTTTTTTAACTATAGTCTGGCCCTCCAACAGTCTGAGGGACAGTGAACTGGCCCCCTGTTTAAAACGTTTGAGGACCCCTGATCTAGATGCTCACCATGAAGATGTCCCACAGACACCCATGGATATATTTATTCTAAAGAGGGTTCTGGTATATTCTTTAACTTGAATTATCTTTGAGTAGTGACAGACTAGGCCTCCTAGACAAACAGTATTCAGGTTGACAAAGTCACTAGGTTACTTAGCAAAAATACATTCTAAAATCTGCTAACTCATAATTATTATAGGGCTTAGCCTGCTCTTTTGGGCTTGAGAGAGGACTGAAATAAATTTCTCCAGATTCCCCTTTTCTCACATGCTGTCCAAGAACTTGATTTAGCCTATCCTCTGTGCTTTTATCATGTGAATGACTTTTATCCTGACCATCTGTAGATTTGGCAGGGTCTCCTTGATAAGAAGGCATAGAGCCAAACAGGTTTCTCATTGGCTACCTGGTATTGAGTTTCTAACTCAAGCTCAACCCCGATCAGCCCTATGGCTTCAGTTTCTGACTCCTAAAAAGTGACAATCTTGGCCGCCTAGACGCTCAGTTGCATACTAATAAAAAGTCCACCTGGTTAATAAGCAGCGATTATACATATCCACACTTGTTTCTATTTATCTTTCTTAAACTTGTCATCATGAAGATAAATTCTCTGCTTCACTTGCCAATAAAACAAATATTTATGAAGCACTGGATATGTGCCAGCTACTTACTGTTACAGCTGCTTTTACATGTATTGACTCATTTAATCCTCATAAACAACCGCTATAAGACTTACTAATATGATACTTCTTTTTCCCATGAAGCCAAGACACACAAATGTAAGTCATTTATCCGAGTCTTTACAGTTAGAAGTTATAGGCTAGCATGCAAAGTCAGGCGGGCTGTCTCCAGAGTTTCTCCTCTCTACTACACTACGTATCTCCATATGTAAAGTTACACATTCATTCAAATATAATTTCATGTGCAAAAAATATATTATATAAAGAGACAGCAATAGCTCCCATACAGGCCATTAAGCAAACATAAGGTGGAGACTTTACACATAATTCAACGTTTTAGGAAAGAAGCATACGATCATTAAGTGATAAGCCCAAGCAGTGTCGTTCAGACTTCGGAATGGACAAGAACCTCTTAAGGAGGCTTATCCTCTGAGATTTCGCTTTTGAAGGTCTGGGTTGGAACCCTCCGATGTGGCATTTTTGGACGGTCACCCTCCCATACTCCAGCAGTGAGGACATTCCGATGCAGAAGGCTCCCTGCTCATACCCTGCTACACTGACCTAAGCTTTAGAACCAGAATTCAGCCCAAACAGAAGCAGACCCCTAGGAAAAGGTGAGTTGGGGCCCAGATGTCAACACGGGACTAGTTGACAACCTACAGCTTTTATCTGGCTCAACGGCTCTTCAAAAGATAAAACCTGAATTAAAAAAAAAAAAAATCAAAGAACGACTTCTGCACCAAAGCCCCGGTTTAATTCAAGAATTAGCTTCAAGGCATCACGAAGCGAGCGCCGGGGGCGCCGGGCTCACCTGCGTCCTGGAGTAGCCCGGGCACTGCAGGGCGAAGGTAGCGCGAGTCCGCAGGGCAAAGGCTTCCCTGGCGAGGGGCGCGCAGCCCCGGGGGGCACTGAAGGTCAAGCGCTCGATTTCTGCGAGGCAATCGGACTGCTCGCAGGCCGCAGAGTTCACGAGGAAAGGAGAAAACACCGGAAAGAAAAATAAGAGAGAGAGAGAGGGGTTTGAGTGAGGAGCGCAGCGAGGGAGATGGGGAGGCACCGCGAGGACGTCTGGAGCGGAGGTCACGGCTGCGGTGAGCGCGGAGGAGGAGGAGGAGGAGGAGGAGGAGGTGGAGGAGGAGGGGGTGGAGGAGGGGGAGGAGGGAGCAGCCGGGAGCGCTGGACGCGGCGGGATCGTCACCGCGCTCGCCCCGCCCAGGCTCCCCGCCCCGCAGGCTGCTAAAAGCCTGCGCCCTGCGCTGAGGCTCGGGACCCCGGCAGGCAGGTGGTGCCCCTGACGTCCTTCCCTGATCCCGGGTTCTCGATTTGCCTTTCCTTCTGGGGGGAAAGGGAGGAAGCCTCTCCCGGAACCCTGTTCGCTGCGGAGACAGACTTTCTGCCCCCTAAATTGGAACAACGGTGGCGTCCCAAGCTGGGTGCAGCCTCGCGCCGGCAGCCCAGATGTCCCCTTCCCCCTGCCGGCGTCGTCCCAGAGCCTGGCCACTTGCCCCGGGTTCTGCACACCGGGGCATCCCCTCTGCCCTGCTTTCTGCAGAAGGTCAGCGGCACTGACCACTCTACTCACCTTGTTGTTGCAGGAGACAGTGCTGTTGAACTGGGTACTTTTGGCCTAAAAGAAAGAAAGAGAGAGAGAGAGAGAAAAGAAATGCAGCAAGGATGAAAACCTCTTAAGTCCACGTGTAAGATTACTCCTCCGCCCTTGCTCAGAGGGTTTAAAGGTGCTCAGTTAGCAGTTTCTAGTTAGGTACCTGTTTCCTATGTCATGGACAAGGCAGTGAAATAGTTAGTCTTTATGTGGTGCTGGCTGGTGTTTGAAACTGGACCTCCAAAGGTCTCAGAGGGAGCTCTTCCTTCTTCCCTCCCTCAAGCAGGGACACCTGCATACACAGCACTAGGCATGCGAGCAATAAGGCCACTCTCTGAGTGCCAACATGTGCCCTGTAGCCACTTATGCATACAGACTCTATCTGGAAATTAGGATGATCAGGAAAATGATTTCTACTGTATATTAAGAAGTCCGACGTACACCATGTCCTGTAATAGCAACCTGAAACATCTAGAACACTAGGGAGACCTGAAGCACAGCTTCACTCCTTAGCTGTCCTCACTCCTTACGGGCTTAGCTCACAAGAATTCCTCCTTCTTATCCTTTCTTTCTCAAGCCCTCATCCCCACTGTCTTCTTACTGCATAGTCAGAGCGGCAGTTTAGCAGAAGGTAGACACCCTCGTTGCATGACGTGCTACCTATTGGTACCCGCTCCTCATCAGCATCTGCACACTTACAAGGTGCCAATTTCCAGATAGTCATTTTAAATACCAGTATATTTGAGTATCACTTGTAAATATTCCTAACAAAATGCTGGACCATGATTTTTTTTTTCCGAGTGACTTTTCTTTTCTAGAAAGTTAAATGGTGGTTTAAGTGCATGGATGCCCACCCTTCTGATGAGAATACATTTGTATGAAAAAAATGTTTCTCCACTTACCCCATTCATGTATTCCTTCAGGTCATTATAAATAGTTTTCTGATATTTCTGTTTAATCTTCTCAAAGTCACAGTCAGTGAAGTTGTAAGTTAGCACCAGCCCTGCCAGTTGCAAGATGAAGATCTTCCTGAAAAAATCTGACAGAACAAATAGTAAAACATCAGAGAATGTATTTGGAAAGCGAATTCCACCCCGGTTTCACACTAAACTCATCCCACCAACACTGAATTGTGTCTGGATTTGCACGGCCTGCCTTAGGGGCCAGCGCTCAGGCACCAGTCTTTGCCTCTCATGCCCAGCACACAGGAGGCCCGTATTCACCCATGCTGTTGCCTTAAGTTGGAGTCTCCCTGATGCTCCAGAGCTCTCTGGCTCCACATATATAACACCTAAACGCCTACGGGCTCTTTTCTCCTAGGCCAATGATTTTCTTCCATGTCATTCTCTTCCTTTATAGAATTCTGAATTGATGATGTAAAAGAAAAAAATTAGGACTAGCCAAATCTATGGAATTTTAACATTAGTAAAATTATCAGGAATTTCCCTCACCTTCCTCCTTTTTTTCTTTGCCCTAAACCCTTAATATGTGCTTGAATGTGCTTTAAGAAATGGATACCAGCATCTTTCTGCTACAGGGTGGTTTCCACAACCAACCTTTTCTCCTAAGAAAAAAACACCTTAAGAAACCAGCAGCTCTCTAAGGAGTTGGTACCTCTGCCTGTGCCTCCTGAACACCTCTGGGCATTTCCTTTGGCCACTTTGGACTGGTGTCTTACCTCCTCTTTGGCTACTGAGAAACGCATGTGCTTCCTTACGGGATGCTTTGTAGGGTGAGCGAAGCTTCAGGCCTGGACAGTGCTTTCACGGGAGAGCATTAAATTTGCAATCATGACCAGATCCTTAGGGGAAGGAACGATAATGGCTTGAAATAAATGGAGGCACAACTTCTGATGGGCCTCGTTCTCAAAAACCCTACTTTCCAATGCTCTCATATCAATTTCAGGAAAAGCGCCTACTCTTGGTTAGTGGGGGCGCCTCAGGGGCAGAGATCTCCTCTAGCACGTCCTCATAGGTGTCAAGACCTTTTAAAACCACAAAGGCCAGCGCCCTGTCGCCCCCTTCTGAAGGTCAGCGTAAGACTGAAGACGCGAGCGGAGAATCCCGGCCAGATCGCGCCAAACTGGTGCGCAGCCGGGAGCGCACGGAGACGCTGGCCAGAGCGCAGCTGTCGCCCAGGCAGCGCACGCTTCCGTGCGCCCTGCCTCCCTTGCGCTTAGCCCCGTGCAGCTCAGCCTGGACGACTTCGGTCGTTTGGGTTCTGAGCCTGGGCACTGGTTTAGGGACCCCAGAAGTGGCAAACTGGTGGGCTCGGATTTGCACTCGCAAACCCCTGTTAATCCAGAAAAAGGAGATTAAGCGCAGCTACGCGAGTCAGGGAGAGCTCCCGAAAGCATGTCTAGCAGCCTTCCCAGCTCGAGCAGTGCCAACGGAGGATGGAAAAGAGGGAAGGCTGGCATGGACTCGGCTGCTGGGATGAACTCTACTCCCCCCGAGCTTGGTCCACGGAGCTCCGGGCCCTCTTGACGCCCAGATCCTCTCTGTCATCCCCCCAACTCCACTCCCCCCCTTGCGTGTCAGAGCCTGAATCGCCCTGTCCTTGGGGAAGTTCCTAGGAATCACCTCGGAGAAACGGCGAGGTTGGGCGCTCCACGTGAGTCCCAGCAAATGTCACAGGTCCCGTCGTGCCTGGGAAGGACACCAGGGAATGGCTAGGATTGCGGGGGGCAAATAAAGTATTAGGGGCAAACTCCAGCACGAGGTGGCCTTTTTTTTCTCTCTCTCTCTCATAGAAGGCATTCAACAGCTGTGCCAGTACAGCTGGACCCAGTTTGCTGATGTTAGGTCTGAGGATAAAAGTTGTGATAACAGGAGTGTTAGAAAGCCTCTGATTCACTGCTGACTTCGGAGATGGGCTTTTTTGGAACCCTCCAAGTCTGGGACTTAAGTCATTTCATCATCCTTTGAAAAAGAAGTCCCCTCCATTCTATCACCAACTTCTCAGGGTGCTGTGGGATGGTGCCAAAGCCTGACTCATCTGCTGTGACATCAGAGATGATTCTGGTTAGCAGCTGGACATTGGATAGGCAGACAGGAGCTAGAGATCCAGATTTCTTCACTGGGTTGGGATATCTCCAAGGGACAAAGGCAAAGGCATGGGGCGGCATCTGTCTTCCTCACCTCACATACCTTCCTTTGTCGTTGCTTGCTATAGGGCCCCGAAGCATGAGTCCCCCCACTAGTAATGCCAGCTACATCTCTTAATTACTGATGGGCACAGGGATGGGAGAAGGCAGCCACTGCCACTTGCATTCTTCTGGAGATGTAACCAAGGCTGCCTCCATTTCTTGGTGTCTTCCTTTAAAACACTGTGTCTATAGTCAGTGTCTGTCACGGTAGAGATGCGACAGGCAGGATGCCTGCTCCTCGGGCATCCCGAAAGGCATCTCTTTGTCTGTTCAACACATTGCTGGACACTTGTCCCTATGGCCCCCAGTTTCTTTATCTGTAAATATGTGACCTCTTAGGCCACCTTGATTATATTACTTTTCTGCTCACAAACTTTTGGTAGACTTGATATTGCTCTGAGATTTACAATTATCCCTCCTTTATTGACTGCAAGCTGTCTTTCCAGCCTTATTTCCTTCATTCCCTTAGGCTTCTGCCAAACAGTATCTGAGGGTAACATGCTCTAATCGTGCTCTGAGCTTTACTTCTCCCAACCTCACACCCTCAGGTGTTGGATTCTCATGTCATTCAATGTTCATCTAATTTGATATCTCCAAAAGTGGTCTCCTACCTGGATATGACCTCACTATTCTGTAAGCCATATTTATTTTTGGCTTCCCTCTTATGGCTTCCATAGATTACATAATATTTCAATAGTGTTTTTCAACCTTATCTTTTTATTAGATTGTGAGTCCTTCAAAAGCAGGTAATGTTTTATAATAATTTGTTTAATATCTATTTATTTTTTCCAAAAGCATTTGGCACCAAAGCATTTACTATAATAATATAAAAAACCATTTAAGATAAGACCAAAGAATGAAATCCAAAAATAAAGGAGGTCAGGATCAGGTATAGGGAAGCCCATAGAAGAGCATTATTAAGAATTGGAGAATTAAGACAATTGAGTTCAAAAGCAAGTTCTGAGCTTCCAAACAGCCAGGACACAGCACAGACTATAACAAGTTCTACTACATACTAATTCATTAAAGAAGCCACTTTTTCTTAGGCACGTGGTCATCATCATAACCATAATAGGGCTCAGTTTTATGGACTACATGTAATAGATACTCAATGAGGTTGAAGCATATTAATCTTCTATGAAGATCATTGTCAGGAAGCAAATTATTTTATACTGAAAGGACTTCTCTATAAAGATTTTTTTTCTAGTCCTTTGATGGCATCTTTCTGGAATTCAATTATGGGCAACCATTCAGGCCAGGGCATTTTTGTGAAAATTCCTGGTGGGCTGAAAAGTTTCTTGTTTCTCTCATTTTCATTTGTTCAAATGCTAAAGGTATGAACAGTATCTAGGTGTGTTGTTTGGGAAATCCTAGGTTAGGTCGAGAATGGTGTGTGTTCCACATGGTAGGAAATAGAAGTGAGATCATTTATAGCACTCTGATTACTCAAGGATCTTAGGCAATACTCTCACCCATGAGATGGGCCAGAAAATGATCCATGATATAGCTCTCTTTTCTCCTACCCCAGCTTAAAACATATGTCACTCATTTCTTTAATATTTTTATTTCTTGTTTTGATAATAGTTTCCATTCTTTCTTTTATTCCCTTATTCTTTCCCTCCCCTTTTTAAAATTTACTTCTTTCCTCCTTTTCTTTGAACTGTCTTGCATATTTAAAGTAACCTAGATCTCATGCAAAACTTGGTTTGGGTTTGAAAAGTATTAATAGATCCAAGTTGCCAAGAAAAATGACTGGTAGTTTTAAAAACTTATTAAATCATAGAATTATTTGGACTTAAAAAAATGGAAAGAACATAAGAGAGGTTATTAATGAGATGGGGAAGATCTCATTCTAGGGAGTAAGAAAAGGCAATGACGCCAACTTTAGCTTGGTCATATTTTAGACAGAGTAACAATGCATTTTCCCCAGCAGAAGGATGTCCTTTTGGGCCTGAAAGTAAAGTATATTACTCTGGATCTTTGAGGATGCTAGTCATATAATCACTCTACTTCTTCATTTTCATATCCTTATGCAGAAAGGAAGGGTCACACTTTGCAGAGGTGAACACTGTTTCTTTTTTTGATATTCTACCTAATTGCTCATAGTTAGCTGTAGTATTTACTTACTGTGAAGTGGCCACTGTATAGTTTGTGATGACTGCAGCATTATGCCCATTTTGCCCATTTCTTTTGCATTATACATTTGTGCTCCAGCAGCTTTACTGTTAATCTAAAACATCGATTTGGTTCATTAAACTCCATACTTCCTTTAAGTTCCTCTGGTCAATGGACCAGAAAGTGGAGCAAGGGAGTTTCCTGTGACAAATGTGAAAAATATATCTTTAGTTTAATTTTATTTCCAGGCTAGTGCTATCTGCATACTTAGTCTATAGCTAAGGGATGTTGCCATATCTTCTTGAATTAGGGAGTAAAGGAGACTAAATATATTCAGGTAAACCTAGTGCTTTCATTCATTCCACTGTGAGGAAACAGTCTTACTCTCAGCCAGTTGGGAGTATATAAGGAGATTACTACAACGTAATGGGATGTGAATGTGGAGAAGATTGTTCAAGAAGAATGTAGGAGGCCGGGCGCGGTGGCTCACGCCTGTAATCCTAGCACTCTGGGAGGCCGAGGCGGGCGGATTGCTCGAGGTCAGGAGTTCAAAACCAGCCTGAGCAAGACCCCGTCTCTACCAAAATATAGAAAGAAATTAATTGACTAACTAAAAATATATATACAAAAAAAATTAGCCGGGCATGGTGGCGCATGCCTGTAGTCCCAGCTACTGGGGAGGCTGAGGCAGTAGGATCGCTGAGCCCAGGAGATTGAGGTTGCTGTGAGCCAGGCTGATGCCACCACACTCACTCTAGCCTGGGCAAGAAAGTGAGACTCTGTCTCAAAAAAAAAAAAAAAAAAAGAAGAATGTAGAAGTTGAGGTTTCTTTTTTTTTTTTGAGACAGAGTCTCGCTTTGTTGCCCAGGCTAGAGTGAGTGCCATGGTGTCAGCCTAGCTCACAGCAACCTCACACTCCTGGGCTCAAGTAATCCTCCTGCCTCAGCCTCCCCAGTAGCTGGGACTACAGGCATGCGCCACCATGCCCAGCTAATATTTTCTATATATATTAGTTGGCCAGTGAATTTCTTTCTTTCTATTTATAGTAGAGATGGGGTCTCGCTCTTGCTCAGGCTGGTTTCAAACTCCTGACCTCCCTGGGCCTCCCAGAGAGCTAGGATTACAGGCGTGAGCCACCGCGCCCAGCTGAGGTTTCTTAGAATGCTTCAAAAAAGTTGTAGAAGAGGTCAGAGCTAAAAGACAGTTCTACCTTGGGATATTTTGCAAGAATATTTACTATGCTGGGTACCTTCTATTTTCCACTCCAAGTATACTCTCTGACCTTCCTATCCTGCTCTGTACCTTGGGAAGCTGACACATAAAGAACTGCTTTGACAAGCTCCCCTGACATCTAGCTTCTGGTTGGTTTCAGCCAATGGGAGATACTGGTAAAGGATCAGAACATAGGAGGACAGTGACATTTGGATTTTAATTTACCCACTTTCCTGTTGTTGGCTCACTGAAGATTGGATGCTTTCTTCTACTGAAGGCCACAGATTCTGTTAGTTGACTTTTTCATCTTGCCACCAAGATGCCAAGCATTAACAACCATTACAACCCTTTGTTCTTTTAGGTCTAGGGGTGATAACAACTCCTTATTCTTGCTAGCCTGGAGGTACTGCACTATTCCGAAGTTATAGTTTGGCTGGCCCAGACCCGGTTTATACACACTGACCTGGAATAATTTATTAATAGGGCTTCCTTTTACCCTCAAAAGTGGCAGTTTCAACAATAAATTATATGATCATTGTTTATTTCCTTACTTATACTCTCTGTAAATGGTCCCTATTAAATTCCTACAATTACCCAGTTCGAGTGTGCTACTTGTTTCCTGGGACTCCTGACTGATAGTTACTTATAGTAGACTACTTATAGTAGTCACCAGGATGTCATCACATGGAGCCATCAGCTAACATTACTTTCCTAATCTTTTATATCCACATGGTGGCATCATATGAGTTATGTAACTCTAGCACTGTAAACAGTGGCACTTAAAGTTTCATTAAATTCTTTTAATTTTTAAGAAAAAGTTTCCTTGCTCTTTGCTGTGAAAGATGAGTTGTAAGAAATTCGCAATTTCCCTACCGCCCCTCAAATGACATCTCTTCCCAGTAATAGCGCCTGGCAGGATTGGCAAGAAAGCTACGCACCTGTTGGGCTCTATTGTGTAATTTGCTTCATAGTTTAGCCCCTATTGTTTACGATTAAATGGATCTTTTAAAAAGTGACCATTGTGTGAGTCAAGTGGTAGCTATTAGTTTATTTCTCATCGAGTGTGTTTGAGGCCCTTCAAGAGTCTGCTCTGTGATGAAGCCCTCTATTCTCAGGAACGATCTCTGAGTTAAACAATCACCCAAAGTATTTCCTCTTTCAAACATAATAAGCCCCTAATAAGCATTTTGTGTGTCTCATTAAGGTCTACTATCTTCCCGTAGGGCCACGCAGGGCTTCTGAGAAGGTGCCACTTGAGAATTCCAGACTCATGGTGGGGGTAGAGGGAGAAAAACAGAGAAGAAGCAAACTCCGCAAAGTTGGGGAGAGGATAAATAGACAGCACAGAGTATGGAGTCTCAGAGTCTGGCCTGAGGCCCATTGTGAGGTGGTACTATCACCTAGAAAAGATGTTGGTAACTTAATGATCTCGAGGTGTCAAAAAATAAATACATTATTTTTTTAAAGAAAAGATGTTGGGAGTTTAGAGCAAGAGGTTAGCAAATGACAGCTTGTAAGCTAAATTCTGCCTGCCTGTCTGCTTCTGTACATAATGTTTTATTGGAACACGTCCATGCTCATGTTTTTTTTTTTTTTTTACAGCATTGTCTCTGGCTGTTTTCATGCTGCAAAGACAGAGTGGAGCTGTTATGACAGAAACCATCTGGCCTGCAAAGCTTAAAATATTTACTATATTATCTTTTAAAATATAA